CTGGTTTTTATACAGTTTTCATAAAATTTATACGTGTTTTGAGGAGTATAAAATATACGTTAGACCCTACAAGTGTTACAGTATTTTCACAGTTCGGAGTAGAGCAGTTGTCAAAAATGTTCAACAAAAATTATTGTTTCGTTTTTCTTTGCGGTTATTTAGCATTTTGCGATGCTGCCTTTGGTGAGTAGATGTTGTGTCACTTTTAAAATTTAGAGAAGTAAAACGCTCTATAGTCATGTTTGTTTAGATAAAACTTGTCAATTATTTTACAACTTGTCATTATAGTTCGACAAACGTAAATTTTATTTCTAACTTATACCGAATTAAACTAAATAATTTTATATAAATTACAGTGGACACGTTAGGCAAATGTCAGCCCGAAGATGGGGATTGTCTTAAGAAAGTTATAAAGGGCGTTCTCGAGGGCATAGCTACGACAGGTATCCCAGAATACGATATACCACCCATTGATCCATTCAAACTGACCAATCTTAAGCTTAACTTCATGGACATGGCGGAACTGACTGTTAAAGAAGGAGTCATCAAGGGTCTCAAGAATTGTGAAGTTACTGATGCTATGTAAGTATAAGGATTCTCATTGCATGTACACACACCGAATAATTTTATTTTGCAAAGATAATACATAGAGCAGTGATGGTCTAGTGGCTTCAGCGTGCGACTCTCATACCTGACATCGTAGGTTCGATCCCCGGCTGTGCACCACTGGACTTTATTTCTATGTGCGCATTTAACATTTGCTCGAACCGTGAAGGAAAACATCGTGAGGAAACTGACATGTCTCAGACCCAAAAAGTCGACGGCGTGTGTCAGGCACTGGAGGCTGATCACCTACTTGCCTTTTAGATTTAAAAATGATCATGAAACAGATTCAGAAATCTGAGGCCAAGACCTAAGGAGGATGTAGCGATGTGTTTTATTTATCAATACATATATTCAAATACACCAATGACAGTTTGAACGATAGCGCGATTCATATATTTATGTACACAACATTTAAAGGTTTTACTTAAGCTCTAGAATAATATAGTTGGTTATTAAAAACAAGATGTAGTATGGAAACTGAGAGTTGTCTCTACAAATTTAGCCGACTCGGGAAGAAAATTAAAATAATTTTAAAATTATAGACTATTAAAACAACTACTTATTAGAAGCAGGGTATCGTTATGGGTAGAGCGAAAGGAGTAGGGGAGCCACTTTAAATAAAGCCCTAACTTATTGATTTAAAAATATCTTTACTGATTTCACAAAGAGGTGGTGCGCGGAAGAAAATACTTTAACAAGCGTGTAAAGCCTCATGCCCTAATCGATCTTTAAAATGATATGATAATGACAACCTTTTTTTTTAAGTTCAACCTAACATACATACTCTTACTTTCAAAATTGCGTGTACATTTACTATGTAAAAAACGTTTAATTAAGAGTAATATTTTTTACTACTGTTATTAAACATTAAATACGTTGTTATGATGGGTTGAATAAAATTATAGAACTACATCTTTTGATCCCACTACAAGGATATATTTTACTCCTCAACGTGTTAATAAACATGCATTTTTTAATATTTAGATATGATTGAATACATTCTAATACTTAAATGATTCATTGTATTTATATAATGAATCTTTTATAAAAAAAAACATGTACATGTTTTATATGCATACGCAAAAAAAATACAATTAATCCATTCCATTTCGCAAAACATAAGAAAAAAAGTCATATAAGTTAGAATAAATAAATGGAATAGATGGAATATTTTTTTGATTAAATTTCGCGTTCAGTCTTTATACAATTTTAATAGGTCATGCACTCACTCGTCATTATTAACTGTTTATTTTAAAAAAATAGAAATATTTAATACTATATTATTTAGAAAAAAAATTATATTAATGTATTATTAACTTTTATGTATGTTATTTAACATTTTAGGTTACACATGGACAAGGGAAGTGTCGTATTAAAACTCGTATGCGACATATCTGCGAAGGGTAAATATGAAGTGACTGGGTCTGGCACAGCCTTAAAAGACCTATTCGGACCCGGCGCTTTAAAGGGCAGCGGAAACGCTAAGCTTAAAATTGGTAAGTTATTTTTAATCGTATACGTTGATTAAGTGGTGAACAGGGAACATACAGCTAAAGGTCATACAGAGGTGTACCAGGCACACGTTTATCCCTTCATGCGTCATAAGCAAGCAGGAAAACAATATTTCATATGTTCAAGCATATGAAATATTGTTAGAAGTGTATCCCTAAATGCCTCTGAGGTGAACGCAATAACATCACCTTCCAATATAATATAATATTTGGATGAAGGATTGACTATACACGATTTGTATTTACACTTATCTTACTCTACCTGAGATTAAACTAATATTAAATTTACTGCAGATAAAATTTTGATAACCTTCAAAGTTAAATTCGACGTGGTGAAACGTGATGGAAAAACTTATGTGACTTTCGTAAAGGATTTGACCACATACGATTTCGATTTACAAGGCCCCAGTCACCTCACGATCGACCAATTGTACATTGGTGACGTAGAATCAAGTAAGTTAATCCCAAAATATACCTGATTACATTTACTCGTTGATAGACGTATTCCCCGTACGTCGAACGTTGTAATTTAAAACAGGAGATTTTGCAATTGCTCCCATGGGTATGAAAACCAGGTTCTAAAAGCTTCTTAAGTACATTTCGCTTCTCAATTATAAGGCTGTTCGTAAGTTTTACGTACAAGTTCGGAAGAAACTTCAAATTATTGTAATGTAACTTAATTCATTTGAAATATGTTTTATAGGTAAATTAATCATGGACTACTACAATCAAAATTACAAAACAATATGGCAATCTTTTGGAAAATCAACGTTAGTAACGGCAACTGATATAGCGTTTGAGATGCTATATAGATTCTTTGATAATGTTGAAGCTGAAAAGTATCTAGCGGGTGATCTCAGCAAATATGTTAAGAATTGAACATGTATTTTTGTTGTGAAATAAAGTCTTACGAATTACTTTGTAAAAATCTATTTATTTCTGTATTTCAAACTCATAGAATTTGAAGCTGAAAGACTTCTTTTTAAATAAATTCTAGATTTTTAAAAATAAATAAAAAAATATTATAATGTCTAAATATATACAGTCAAACCTGGGTAAGTGAGAAAACTCTATAAGTGAGAATAATAACCGAGACCCGTCATTTTAAGCTCCCAAAACCTCTATTAGCGAGAAACAGAAACCTCTGTAAGAGAGAGTCGTTTTTCCCTCATGCACCTCCGTAAGTGAGACTGCTACTTATCTTTACCTCTATAAGCGACAGTTGGGCTTTATTTTTTTATATTATGTACTTTAAATGCTTTGGAGACGGTCCCCATCAGTACTTTGAAAACGCGAAGCGGCGGTTGTTATTCAAGCAATATTCGACAAAATTTATGAGTTAGAGATAAACATTCAAAATACAAAAACAGAAACCCAAACGAAATTGACGGTTTTATTAAGTGTAAATTAGTTCTAAATAAAATAAAATATATATGTACATAATATGTTGTGCACATTATGCACATAATTTTATCATATTACATATTTACTACATTCGTATTTGCTCCTCCTTACCTCTATAAGAGAGAAACGCTACCCATGTACCTGCATTAGCGAGAAACTCGGGTTAGTGAGAAACCTCTATAAGCGAGAATGAGATTGTTCTCCCTTGAACTCTCGCTTATCCAGGTTTGACTGTATCGAGATGTTGTTGATTTTACTTAATCCAACAAAAAGGCTCACATATTTTAGTCTAGTAGGAAAAATTAACATTTAAAAGATAGGAATAAAGGGAAAGATAAGACTTATTTTATTTAGTATAAGAATACTACATAATATGTATAGCCAAGTTGGCTTGGCTTTCAGTGCGAATACAAACAGTTTAAAGCATACGCACGTAGTTACAAAGCAATATGACAGTATAATAATTGAATAAATAAATAATATCAAAGTGGTACACAAAAAAAAAAGAACCGCAAAATCAGTCAAATTACCAGGCAAGTGTCAAAATATAATTAATCACATTTAAATTATGTTAATTAACAGGTCAGTCAAAACTTATATATCTAAGAACGAAAGACTCAAGATTGAAAGCAGTTAGTTACAACAAAATACAAGTGGCACAACAAGTGAAACAAATATTAATCGTAGATAACAGATATAGATTGGCATTCTGATAAACAATAAACTACAAATCGTAAAATGACTGCTTTACGACTGATTTGAGCGCGACCGCCGCTGCGAAAACCGCTGTGAGAGTTCGAAAAGTGAGTTACAGAATCGCAAGGCAGAACTGTTAAAAATAATAACATTAATAGCTAGGCATTTGCGAATCATCGTCATTTCTGAACGGCTGACCTCACGTTTAACTAACAAATTTTTGGTCTAAACATCTAATCTCTATATATCTAATATATAAAATTCTCGTGTCACAATGTTCGTTCCCATACTACTCCGAAACGGCTCGACCGATTTTTATGAAATTTTTTATGCACATTCAGTAAGTCTGAGAATCTGCTACTATCTATCTTTCAAACCCCTAAGTGATAAGGGGTGTCCACCCCAAAAAATGTTTTTTTTTTCATGATACAACATACAAAAATACATACAGCCCCTATTTTTTATTATTGTAGATAGTTATGTTTATTGAACTAAAAAATCTTTTCTAGAAATAATATAAGTACATGGCAAAACAACGTTTGCCGGGTCAGCAAGTATAATAGAGATATTTTATATATTATAATTGCAATCCTTTTAAGAGCATAGCATTATCTTATTATTTAATATTTACTTGAAATTAACTATATGCTATTACTAAAAGACGTCAGCGTGTAATGAGGAGTTGTAAGGTACAATTTATATGACATGTATAAAGTCGAGATGTCGAGGAACAGCCGGTAACTCGGTTACAAAGTGTCATACACGAAGTAAGGGTCATATAGAATGTTGGGAGTTCTTGTTTTCTTTTTAGCGGTCTGGAGTGTTGCGCCGTTGGGCTTACGTAAGTAAACACGTATATTTTTGATTCGTTGTTCCATCTTATCTGTTTTCTACTTGTTAAAAGTAGGTTTTAAATACGAATTGTGAAGTATAGTATACTTTTTTTCGATATCTTTTTTGATATCGTTAGATTTTTGTCAACATTTGACATTTATTAAAACATTGAAGAGCAAGTCATAAGCATTGACAGCTTTGTTATTCGTTATATACTTATTGCTTGTGTACCATCTTATTTTATGTTTATATATCTCTTTATATTTTGTTTCAAAAGTAGATATTGAAAAGCCTGTGTGAATTTCAGTTTTAAAATTAAGCAAAAATTAATCACTTATGTTTTAGCTGATTACCTCAAATCATGTTCAAGAAATGATCCAAACTTGAATGAGTGTGCTCTAAAATCGGCCCAAGACTCGATTCGCCAGTTCTCGTTAGGAGACTCTGGAAGAGATTTACCGTCCTTGGATCCATTATACATACCCGAAATGAAGGTGTATATCCCTGATGAGAAGGGCTTAAAAATAGTATTCAAAAATAATTATTTCAAAGGACTCTCCAAGCTGCAGCTAAAGGGTTTGAAGTAAGTATTTTCATATAATATTTTATTCATTTTTTTTAATTTTCTTCCCCATTAAAGTAACAAGTGAAGAGAATTTGTATCTTAGGTAATTTTGTAGGCAAGACACGTATAAGGGCCTCATAGGCTAGCGGTCTTATTAAGTGTCCGCTAGGTGAGAGGTATCGGGCTATCCTGGTCAGACATTCCTGGTCAGAGCGCAAGTATATTTCTATAAATTTAAATTTGTGTTCTGCCTTTGAGAGGGTTGTACGGTACCGGGCGAGTATCAATTACGCAATAGGCCGAGGATGGAAATTACAAGGGGTAATTCAACATTCCAAGCAAGACATCAGAGAATCAGTGTGCTATTATTGTCGTTATTACTATGTATTGTAATAGAAATTATAATAAAGAGGGGATTTCTTTGCATTGGTTATATTTTGCAAATCATTATCAAAAATTAAACGTTAGAACAGTGTATGTAATGTTGTAAATTAAAAAATTGAGCACGATTCAGTTGTACTATGTACTTACCAATATTTAAATATATAAAGGTTGTTTATATTCAAACAAAATCTGTTATAAAAATATTCATTATATTGTAATTTTTGGATCCTCTGTATCCTAAATAACTATAACTAGTAGGAAAAATTTATTCAATTAACCAAGCCGTATTTTTTGTATTTGTAAGGAGCTATGGGACATAAATTAGTTAACAGGCGATTAACTTCTGGCCTCTAATTATGAATAACATTGGGTCTTTATGGGAAGAAATTAACCGCAGAAGAGTCGTTTAAAACAAAAGAATTAATGAAGTGAGAAAACCCGTGGTTATGAAAATTTGATATTCATTAAAATAATAGTCTCTTTGATGTTAGGCTTATTAAAAAAACAGATATTAAAAAACAGATGAGCACCTGTTTGCTTGTTTTTTAAAACAGTACAAATTATGATCAGAACTGCACATTTATCTTAAATGAAATTAACTTCGTTTCTTCTTTACGTGCATTATGGCTTGTCTTGCTCAAAACTGGCTAAGGAGCCATCATTAAATATCGTAATATGTATTCTTTGTTTTAGGTTTGACCTGGATAAAAAATTAATAGTTGCTGACGCTTTGGTTAATCTCGATGTAAAAAATGAATATGAGGTCAGCGGAAAAATTCTACTTTTAGCAATTCGTTCTAGTGGCGATGCGTCGATAAGACTTAGTAAGAAAAATATTTTATTACGTTTTTATTCTCCATTTATATGATTTATTTTGCATATTTGACAGTTGTCTATAATACCATGCGACTATTGTGACTTTGTGACATTTCTATAGCTTTGCACAAGTATTACTCAAGTTTAGTTCGAATTTAGTGTTAAGTCCAGATAACAGAAGTTAAATTAAATAACTTTATAACTGACCTTTCTAAGCGGTTAATAATCTATGGTATTTGTATACAAATCTTTAACATTGGCAAACATTTGTATCTCACCAAATAAATTGCAAAAAGAGATTAATTTTATTGTATGGGTTTTATGGTCATAATTAATAAATGCTTATTAAGTATTTGAGTGCTTAGATCACTTTTGGTTGACCTAAAATATTTATCTAAACTAATATTATAAAGTATTTGTCGGTATCATTGTGAAAACTATTTAAGTTGATTGAAATAAATATTATGTGTGTTTTGTGACTGTCACACGAATAAGTCGCAAAGATAGTAGTAGATTTTCTGTTGTAGAAGCTAGCTATTCGAACTGAAGAAAATAGAATTCAGTTTCTTTAAATTTATTAATCTTTTAGAAAAAACTTTACTACACATTCAGATATGGTATGAACATGTACTTCAAGATGAGAAAATTCACTGGAATATAAAAAAACATGATGTGAAATACGAAGTAGAAAAGGCGGTTTTCCGATTAGAAAATCTACTTAACGATAAGAATATCGGTAAGTACATGTAGATGTTATTCCTAGAGCTCGATTTAATTGAAATTTTTTGTTTAATACATAACATACACTTGTTTAATTTTTATGTGTCCTCCAAACTTTGATTTAACTGTAGCAATACCAATATTATACACTCAAAAAAATCGGTTCCAGGCGATCAAATCAACAAGCTCATCAATGAAATGTGGCGTGAGATCGTGGCAGATGTGGGTCCATCTATATGCGAGAGCCTGACAGCCTCCGTCGTTGATAATGTGGCGATACTTCTCAAACAAGTTCCCTATGACGAACTTATGCCTCAATGATACTTTTATAGTTTTTAATATAAGGAAAGATGGGCGATAGTATTTTTATTTAATTTAAGCGAATTAGCATTATCCTTAAATAAATTAAGGATACAATTAATTCGCTTGGGACTAAAATGAAATAATTGTAATTGTGTAAAAGGAAATTAAAATAAGTTTATTTCACGTTGTATTTAATAAGTTAACTCTACTTATTAGAAAGACAAATGTCCATTTAATGGACTCCGTGTTCCTTCCATTCTATACTTTTAATCTTCCTGACCCTAAACTCGCCTCGAAAACATTTCATCGGGATTTAACAGAACGTGTTGATAATATACGTAAGCAAACATTTGTTTTTGTTAAATACTAAACGCGATATAATTTTCCGATTCAATCTACCAAATAAAGACATTTATAATTCTATACAGCCCACCATTAACAATAATTCATGCACTTTGTTAGTTTCGCTGTGTGGTTTTATTTTCATTAAGGTTGCCGAATTGCAAAATTTAACTATTAACGAATATACTCGTACTATGGTTATTTGTGATGTTCAAAAGTAGATGCAAAATGCGCATTTAATAATAAAATATCTAAAAAATAAAACAAAATTTTTATCGATTAAGTAGCAAATCAAAATTAAGATTAAACCAATTAATAAGTTTGTGTTAATGTTGACATGTAATCCAATTTCGACCCTTTTACAAACATACGGAATACGAAATGGGATTGTTCCTACCTGTAAATTCTAATAATACTTAATAGCAGTGTTAGAGTAGTGGTTAATCGCATAAGCTGTCTGTCTGTTGTGGCGTTTGAGATCCGGCTGAACAACTGTGAACAGTTAACACTTGCTTTTACGGTAGACGCATTGTGTTCAGTTTAGATTCAGAGTCGAGACTTAAGTTTGATGTTGGACACAAATTAAACGAATAATTGTACCCCTTGCTTAATGCTTACGGGTCCATACGAAATCTCATTCTCTAATACTATCGGTCGACCAGTTCAAGGAGGAGGATGAAGAATCTAAACTCAGTGTATATTTGAAACATTTATTTAGGTCCACGTTTCACAATTAACGGATCTATTTTTATGGAGTGTAAATGACTACCTATCATTCCACATCACGCCTCTCGACTTTGGACGTAAACATGAGATTACACAAATTTACGAATGTATTTTCGCATAGCATATACAAAAAAATTCATCTCATGGAATTTTGGACTACCAATTGCTTCCGCATCCACAGTATTCTCCAGATTTGGCCCCCAGCGATTTTTTCCTGTTCACAGACCTCAAGAGGACAACAGTTTTGCGATAATGCACAGGTAACCGACAAAATTGAAGCCTATTTTAATTCTAAAGTCAAGGCGAATATTTTATAAACAAATAAAATTCTATAAAAAAAATTTTTTCTATGTTAGCCTACGAACTTTTCAGCTCACCATGCATCACTATGAAATATCAAAATTACTCGACTGAAATTACCTTAACGTAATAGTAAAACAACAATTATTTTAATAACTTTCTCCCACCCGAAATATGATATATATGTATCGTTAGGAATTAGGATAGTACTCTCAACTGATATAGTATAAGAACAAATTTCAGTATTACTTAAGGTATCACAACGCATTTATCGTACTTCCTTCGCGGTAAAAGCTTCTTGTTCCTTGAGTTTGTTAAAAGGCGTATGAATTGAACCTTCACTCTGTATACAATGGCTTGAAAAGGTAAGATTACCGCGGATTTTACATTACATTTCGGTATTATAATAAAATATGTGGCATTACTGCACAAAACATCCCTTTGTAATAATGTTCTAATTATGGGAAATTAACTACTATTATAATCTGCTTTTTTAATAAAAAAACTAAAATATTTACGTATCGGTATTCAAATAAATGCAAAACAAAGATTACGTTTCATTATTTTTAATAGTGCTCAGGCATTTGCGCAATGAATGCGCCGTAAAACATTCAAATATAATATAGGAAAACTACAACTATGTTAAACGGACGAAATAAACAAATAAATAAATCAGTGGCACTACAACCTTTTTAGGTCTGGGCCTCAGAGTTCTGTCTGTATCTGAGCCTGATATACGCTGTCGACTTTTTGGGTCTAAGGCATCCAATTTTCTCACGATGTTTTCATTGACCGTTCGAGCGAATGTTAAATGCGCACATAGTATAAAAGTGCATTGGTGCACAGCCGGGGATCGAAGCTATGACCTGAGGGGTGAGAGTCGCACTCTTAAGGCACTAGGCCAACACTGCTTGAACGTACGAAATATATTTAACAATAATATATTAATTTAAATGAAGAATTGGTATGCATATTCCATAGTAATACATCAAATTATCACACAAGCGACATTACACATCTATAGCAGAAAGGTGTTCTATTCAAAAGGCACGGGTGAATAAAATAATTAAACAAGATTTTCAGATGTCCACATTCTTGAATCTTTTGTACGAAAAATAAGGTTCACAGATTTAAGCAGTATCTTATCTGAAAAGATTCGGTCGAGAACCATCGAGGGGGTTGTCATGCTTTCACTGAATACCATTAAATTTGAGCATTTGGGTATAAAATAATCGCACCGTCAGGAAAAATGTAAGCCGAGTTTACGTGATTGTCAACCGAGATCAACTTTACTAATGTTTAATACATATGTTCTATATGTATTAAGTACAAATATTATTATTTAATTGTTTAACTGTATAATATTTTAAGATATTACTTTTACGTGTAAAGGTCGTTCATCTGAGTTTCTGAGGGCCGATTTCATGATTCAAGATTTAGATTTCAAATAGTTTGGCGCAGTGGTGGCAAAAACAGTTTAATACAAAACCGACTAAGCTATGTATCAATACGTATACATATGTTATTACTTACTGATCAATATCTTTCCTTTAATTTTCTTAATAATACGAGACCAAAAAGAGGTTTTTTTTATATTTGTTCTTAAAGTACATATCCTCCTTTATATATTTTGTACAAATTCGTTCCCATTATTTACGAGATAGCATAACACTTATCATTGAAAGGTCAAAGAACTTCTTCCGCCTGACACTTGAAGCGAGGCTTTTGTATTTCGTAAGGACTGACGCCAAATCGCTTGAGGGCAGAAAAACAATTTAGCTCGATGCGGTCGCTTTAGAATAGCAAGTTTTTATACATACTTCTGGACCTTTAAGACTTCCGTTTTCTTTTCAATGGGTCTACCTACAATGATACCGGTTCTTCTATGTGGCGCTGGATACGTTTCTAGTCGGTGGAACTTAAAGTTATTATCAGATATTGGACAAAAATAATACAATTAAAATGTTTTGTAAGTTCAATTATTTTGTAAAACACCTCTTGATTTATTTCAAAAAAATCCTTACAATTATTAAATTTTAATAAATTAAGTATCCGGGCAAATATTACTGGTCCTCAAAGAGATCTCAAGTCAATCCAATAGAAACTTCTGTCTGAGGACTCTTGATGTGTTCGAGTTTCTCATTAGTACCCTTATTTATTGAGACCTGATGAGGAAAACTAAATTAAAGTCATGAAACTTGAGAAAGTCCTTATTTGTACACTCCGCACTGACAATAACTACTTTATAAATTCGTATTGTTCCGTTCGAAATTTCAACATTGCTAGGAAGTGTATTACACTTAAGCGAATGAGAAAGAAACTTCTGTTCCTGAAAACTATATGCCTTTTGAAATTTATGTTCAAAGGGTAAATAAACATGTCGGTGAAGTGTCTAGCACGTTAACCTTCTAAATTCATCCACTGCTGCTTCTATTGGCAAATTTCTTATTGTACGTATATCAGAGCAATAATACTTAGCTTTTATGTAAAGTATACGTATATTTTTTTGAAGATCAGTATATCTTTTATTAATATTTATGAATGATATCTACTTCCAACCCAAAAATATACAGTAATTACAAAATCTAAAAAATCAAAATCAAAATATTTAATATTTATTCAATTTAGATGCGTCTTAGCTCATGCTTATGAATGTCAAAAACGTTTACAAAATTCGCGACTACGCCATCCGTTCGCAAAACTACCAGGAGGCCTTGTTCTGAGAAGACCGGGCAAGAAACTCAGCAAGTTTTACCCTCCCTCTACATTACAATTATTCAAAGGAAAATGTCATAAACCACAACGTCATTAAAGTTCCATAAGTAAAAAAAATATAAAAATCTGTTCTGTGATTTACCACATTCACATTACAATATTCTTTACCAACATAGTTATAATAAAAATAATTATTTATATCTATAAACCGATGTTCCCTGATCCCTGTGGCTTGTACCTTTAATATTGGCTGCATTTCCTTATGCAATATTTTATATATTTCAAATTCTTCGTCACATTATTCAATCAAAATTGAAATCTGCGTGATTTCGTTTTTTTGCGCCCGCGTTTTTTTAATTTCAAGGAAACATACAATACTGCTATAAACTATCTTGCAATTGAGAGGTGTTCGCTCAAGTATGCAAATCCTCCTAATTGATAGCATTTTTTAAAGTCTGTATAACATCTAGTATATTTGGGAATTCTTATATTCCCGATAAATTTATAATTATTTAAAGAAATGATTTGTATAAATGTGCGCAGTAATAATATTTATTGTACTAATAGTTTACAGAAGAGGAGCAGTAATAGCCTAATGGCTTTAGCGTGCGACTCTCATCCCCGATGACGTAGGTTCGACCCCCAGCTGTGAACCAATGGACTTTTTTTCTATGTGAGCATTTACCATTCGCTCGAACAGTGAAGGAAAACATCGTGAGGAAACCGGCTTGTCTTAGACCCATAAAGTCGACGGCGTGTGTCAGGCACAGGAGGCTGATCACCTACTTGCCTATTAGAATGAGAAATACTCATGAAACTAGTTCATTATTTTTAATGTAATAGTTTACAGCTGATATAATACTTGTCGTGTATAAATATAGTTCTATATTGAATTTTGTTCCAACATAATTTCGAAGCCAGCGAAGCGTAGCTGA